AAAAAAAAAAAAAAAATGTCTAGACTAAACTTCTCTTCTGTGTGGGAGACAGCCCTCCACCCCAGCTCCTAGGGCTTCTATTTCATAAGCTCCAAGTTAATGATGGTTATTTCTTATTTTATTTTATTTTATTTTATTTTATTTTATTTTATTTGAGATGGAGTCTCACTCTGTCGCCCAGCCTGGAGTGCAAATGGCATTGTCTCGGCTCACTGCAACCTCTGCCTCCCAGGTTCAAGCAATTCTCTTGCCTCAGCCTCCCAAGTAGCTGGGATTACAGGCGCATGCCACCACACCTGGCTAATTTTTGTATTTTTAGTAGAGATGGGGTTTCGGTGTGGTTGGCTCAGCTGGTCTTGAACTCCTGACCTCATGAGCCACCCGCCTTGGCCTCCCAAAGTGCTGGGATTACAGGCATGAGCCATGGCGCCTAGCCTAATGATGGTTATTTCATTGTACAAAAATGTATTGAGTATTGAGTGCTTGCCCTCAATGGGGCTCTCTGCCAGGGAGGTAGGCTCTAACATAGTGACATGCTCTGTGATTAGCAGACACAGATGGCTGATTCTTTTGCTGCCATTAAACTGAGTCTCAGAAAAGCTAGCTGGAAACATGGTTATACCCTAGGGAAAACCAAGATCACAGACTTCATTCCAGCCCCCAGGGATTGGACAGCAGGGTGGATGGGGGAGTCACGATAGCAAGGCCTGTTCCCAGCCTTCAGGGGTTCCCCATGTATGGCTGTCAGTGCTGAGAAGGGCTCTCCTCCTCCCACCTAGGTAACGTGAAGCACCTGGTTCTCTTCCTTCATGAGGCTGTCCTGGTGCAGTATGTGGACACACTCAAGCTCGCAGTGCCCTCTCTCATCTACACCTTGCAGAATAACCTCCAGTATGTTGCCATCTCTAACCTACCAGCTGCCACTTTCCAGGTGAGCCGCAAGCCCAGCATGGCCCCAGAGGAACTAACTAGGTTGGGGACTGGAGTATGGGAATAGCGTGGTGGGGGGATGTTGCAGAGGACAGGGGCTATGTCACCTCCAGAATGTCCTTGGAATTCCCTCAACCTTTTCTCGTCTGAAAATTGGGGGTGGAAATAGTAATGCCTGTTCACTGAGATGCTAGGATACTTAAAAGAAATAATACCTGTGAAGAGCCCTTGGTTGATGATAGATAAGCTTTAGGCTATTTGTGGGCAGCTTTGTGAAATGGTTAAAGAGCCTAGATTCTGGGAGCAGGCTGCCTGGGTTCAAATCTCAGCTCTGCTACTTTCCAGCTGTGTGATTTTGGGGCACGTCACCTAACCTTTCTGTGCCTTAGTTTTCTCATCTTTAAATTGGGGCTTACAGTGGTGCTCACTTCAGAATGGTGTTGTGAGAATTAAATGAATGAATTCATGTGCAGTGCCTAGAACCACACTGATACATTGTAAACACTATGTAAGTATTTGCTGACATTGTTGTGGCTATTGATTCATTTGTATCAAGTCCCTCATCACAAAGATACTTCCATACCTCAGCCATCTTTTATAGATGATGATGCCAGGGCTCAGACAGGGCAAGTGCTTTGTCCCGTCACACAGCCAGGAAATAGGATTGGGATGTGGACTTCCTGGCACAGCCGTCCTTTTGTGCACTTGGTGGGAGAGACCTCAGAACTGTTTTGCTGCAGCTCAGCCAATGGCCAGTGGCTGGCTCCTTTTGCTGTTTTTGTTGTCATACCCCCCACCCTGTCCCTCCGTTGTGCCTGGGGACCCACAGTGGGTGCTGCCCCCCATATGTACCTGTTGGGGGCCAGGGTTAGCCCTCAGTGCCTTCCACGTGCCACTCGCAGGTGACGTACCAGCTGAAGATCCTGACCACAGCGCTGTTCTCCGTGCTCATGCTGAACCGCAGCCTTTCCCGGCTGCAGTGGGCCTCCCTGCTGCTCCTCTTCACTGGCGTCGCCATTGTCCAGGCACAGCAAGCCAGTGGGGGAGGCCCACGGCCACTGGATCAGAACCCTGGGGCAGGCCTGGCAGCCGTCGTGGCCTCCTGTCTCTCCTCCGGCTTTGCAGGTGTCTACTTTGAGAAGATCCTCAAAGGCAGCTCAGGCTCCGTGTGGCTGCGCAACCTGCAGCTGGGCCTCTTTGGCACAGCACTGGGCCTAGTGGGGCTCTGGTGGGCTGAGGGTACCGCCGTGGCCACCCGCGGTTTCTTTTTTGGGTACACGCCTGCTGTCTGGGGCGTGGTGCTCAACCAGGCCTTTGGTGGGCTACTGGTGGCTGTGGTTGTCAAGTATGCTGACAACATCCTCAAGGGCTTTGCCACCTCCCTGTCCATTGTGCTGTCCACTGTTGCCTCCATTCGCCTCTTTGGCTTCCACGTGGACCCATTATTTGCCCTTGGCGCTGGGCTCGTCATTGGTGCCGTCTACCTCTACAGCCTTCCCCGAGGTGCAGCCAAAGCCATAGCCTCTGCCTCTGCTTCCGCCTCCGGGCCCTGCGTTCACCAGCAGCCTCCCGGGCAGCCACCGCCACCGCAGCTGTCTTCCCACCATGGAGATCTCATCACGGAGTCCTTTCTGCCGAAGTCAGTGCTGGTGAAGTGAGGGCTGGCAGCAATGGGGAACACAAGGGAGGGGGACTGGGGTGGAGGGTGTTGGGCATCTGCAGGACCCAAGTTGCCGCCCTCCGGGGCCTGGCTCCTCTGGGTTTGGGAGATGGTCTTTTCTCCCAGGTCACTGAGACTTCTGGAGGGGCGTGGGACTAGAGCTGGGTGTCACGTGAACCCTTCCTGGTAGGCTGACCCCCTTCCCCCGGTGGGGGTTTTAGAGCTGCCTCCTCTGCCCCCTCTAACCTCTTTGGAGGCAGGGTCGGGGTTATTATTCAAGGCCTTTTTTTTTGTCTGCTCCCTCCCTGACCCTATGCCCTCTTCTGGAGGTGTCTTGTCTGGGAGAGTCCCTCCCAGCAGTCCCTCCACCTCCATAAGGACACACTGGACAGAACTCCGCAGCTCTTCAGGAATGACCGATGCCTACCTGTTGGGGTTCAGTTGCCCGTAGTTTGAGGCCTTCTCTCCTCCCTTACCACCGCTCTGGATCATGTTAGCAGTTCCGTCTTTTGTGTGGCCTTGGGCCAGCTTCCCTGACACCTTGAAGATGGACTTCTTGGGAGTCCCCAGGGAGAAAGGGACAAGAGCTAAGATTTTTGCATCAGCCCTTCTGGCAGAAGGTGCGGTCGGGGCCATTTGATTTTTAGTGGACTTGGGATTTGTGGTGTAATCATATCATTAATGATCCAGGGTGTGGGAAAAATGGAGGTCCTTGAAGTGGCTGAATCTCATTGTATTTAAGACACTGTCAGTTGCCAGATGCAGGGTTATTTTTGGAGACGTCTAGAGAGGAAAAATAAAGCTGCCAATCATACTGTTGATATCTGTCTGGCTGTGTGAGGCACCCCTACCTCATGGGGGTGTCGTGGGATTGATGAACTGTGGAACCTGCCTCCTGCACTCCCCAAAGCTTATTAACCCCTTAACTGTATTGGGGCGGGGTGTGTGTGTGCATGGAAGATGCCTGGGCTGTCTTTGCTATATGTAAATAGAGCCACTGGATCTTTATTTTTGATTAATTTGTTCTGATTTTTTGGTTTGTTTTTTAAGGAACTGTAATGAACAAATGTCAGGATATCCAATGCCAAATAAAGATGTTGTATTTATTTAGTCCACGTGTAGCTTTCTGACCCAGGTGGGCGCCATTACTAACACCAGGACTACCAGCCTCACCACTGCCGCCCTCACTTGCTCAGGAAACCCACCTGTCGGCCTAGCCCAGCTTTGTGTTTTTCTTTCCTCCCCATTCCCACCACAGGTTGCTCACCAAGGTGAAGGGTTCCTAGCCGCTGGGATTGAAGACATTGGCCTGGCCTCGTTCTCTTCTTGCCCTGGCCCAGCTGGGACCAAACTCTGATCAGTATTAGGGGTAGGGTGAGGTAGACACTGGACTCCCTGTCCCCACCACCCCGCCCCACGCAGGGCCGACATGACTAAGCTCTCTCATGACCCACCTCAGCTCAGCCCCCCAGCCCCTGCCAGCCCCACACTCTCTTAGCTGAGTTTTTGCAAATAAAATGTGTTGTGCATCTTGCCGACTTGGGTTGGGCAGCCTCGAAGGAAGCACTCAGGCATGGTGGGCAGGATCACCAGAAAGCTTTTATTTTAACCCAGGGCCAGGGAGGCCGAAGCTTCAATCCTGCTGCTTGGTTCGGGAGGCCTCTGCATTGGCCCGGAGCACAGCCCCTGGGGATGGATACGGCCGCTGCTGGAAGAGGGGCCCAGCTGCTGTGGTGTCAGCACCAGTCTTGGCCTCATTCCGCTTGGGGAGTCCTGTTGACCACGTACCCCTGCCGGTGAAAGAGTCAGGGGATGGGGATGGGAGATGTGGTGGACACGGCCCACCTGGTCCCAATGAGGAATGGAGGAAGGAGGCAGGAGGATGGTGTCCACGTACTGAGTCAAGAGGGGTTGTCACTTACCGGGGGGCATCTGAGTATGAGCTAGGGTCCATGGGGTCTAACTCTTCATCCTTTCGACTTACTGCTGTGGAAGTGGCAGGGCAAAGTCTTCAATAGAGGCACCAGGAGCCCCTGATCACTGAGCCCCACCCCACAAGAAGAAATGAAGCCCCTGGCTGCCATGTACCACAGCACCCTCCTCTAGGCCCCAGGTCTAGGCATCTTTTTGAGGGAAGGCTTCCTCACGCAGTGTGCCCTGCACCTTGCTGGTCTCACCGAGCCCCATTCTGCCCAGCTTACCCTTCTTGCTCTTGGGGTAGGGAGCCAGCTCCTCCCGGCGATGGTGGCGCCGTTCTTTGCCCTCTTCCCGGTCTGCCTTGTCATACCCGCGGTCCCGATCCCGTTCCCTGTCTCGCTCTCTCTCTCTGTCTACCTTGTCATAGCCACGCTCTCGATCCCTGTCAGATTTGTCGTGGCCCCGGTCTGACTTGTCGTGGCCCCTGTCTGGTTTCTCATGGCCGCGGTCCGACTTGTCATGGCCCCTGTCCGACTTGTCATGGCTCCGGTCCAACTTTTCTTCAGCATCTGGGGACACAAGTCTTGAAGTGACCTCTTGCCACCCAAGGACCCAGCAGCCTCTGCCTTCAACAACCTCGCTTGCCTGAGGCTGGGCCCACCTGGTCTCACCTGCCCCTCTGATCCACTATCATTCTACTTGGCCTCTCTGTGAGAACTGCTTAGATCACTCAAGGCACTCTTGTACCTGCCAACTCACCTGCATTACTGCTTCTGAGCTTCTTGGCCGATTTGGTAACCACAGAGTTGGGGTCATGTGGGGAAAGCCAGGATACGAGGTCTGTGTCCGCATTCCAGTAGTAAGGGAGCCCACTGTGGGGCCGCAGGACAAGAGAAGTGTCAGCACAGATGTCTTTGCCTTGGATCCTCAACTCGTCTCCCCAGTCTCTGCCTATACCTGCCCCATGTCAGGACCCCACAGGTAGGATCCCCAGAATCTCTTCTCCCGAAGAGAAAACACTGTCAGCCAGGCGTGGTGGCTCATGCCTGTAATCCCAGCACTTTGGGAGGCCGAGGCAGGCGGATCGCCTGAGGTCAGGAGTTCGGGACCAGCCTGACCAATATGATGAAACCTCGTCTCTACAAAAAAATACAAAAATTAGCCGGGTGTGGTGGTGCGTACCCCTGTAATCCCAGCTACTCAGGAGGCTGAGACAGGAGAATCGCTTGAACCCAGGAGGCAGAGGTTGCAGTGAGCCGAGATCGCACCATTGTACTCCAGCCTGGGCAACAAGAGTGAAACTCCATCTCAAAAAAAAGAGAGAAAAGACAGTCTTCCAACCCCAGAGGCGCCAGGCCCCAGCAGGCAGCAACTTGGGTCCTGCAGATACCTAACACCAACACCCTCCACCCGAGGCTCCCTCCCTTGTGTCCCCCTATACCTCACAACCAAGGTAAGCACAGGAAGGGTGAAGTCAGAAGTTAGTCCCCCCTCACCCAGGCTCACCAGGAAGGGTCGAAAACCTTGTACCAGCTCGGTGGTAGGCCCTCCAACCTGGTGGCCTCATAGTCCACAGGATCATCGTCATAGTCCTCGGCAATGATCTCTTCCTCTGGTTCTGGCAGAACGAGGTGGGGACGAGGAGAGCAGTTAAGGACCAGGGGTGTCCTCATCCTACAGAGCCTAGAGACACGCACTCACATTCACACAAGCCACACGTAAACGACGTGTGTGTGTGCCAGGAAGCATATGCAGTACCTTTCACATTCCAAATCCAACTCTCTGTATTAGGAGGTTTACAAAAAAAGGTTACTTAATTCTGTTTCTGGGTTCAGATGATGAGTTCTACTGTTAGCCAAAGCTATCTCGTTTCAGAGTTGATAGGGATTCATCAAAAAATTTACTCATCTTGGCCGGGCGTGGTGGCTCAGCTCATGCCTGTAATCCCAGCGCTTTAGGAGGCCAAGGTGGGTGGATCACGAGGTCAGGAGTTCAAGACTAGCCTGGCCAAGATGGTGAAACCCCATCTCTGAGACTAGCCTGGTTAACATAGTGAGACCTGTCTCTACAAAAAAAAAAAAAAAATTAGCTGGGCACAGTGGCACACGTCTGTAGTCCCAACTACTCAGGAGGCTGAGGCAGGAGGATCATTTGAGCCCAGGAGTTTGAGCTTGCAGTGAGCTATTACCGTGCCACTGCACTCCAGCCTGGGCAACAGAGTGAGACCCTGTCCCTAAACAAATAGTAATATATATACCATAGGCACAGGTCACTCAATAGGCTTAAAAGAAAATCCAGCCTGGTCAACATGGTGAAACCCTGTCTCTACTAAAAAATACAAAAATTAGCCAGGCACAGTGGTGCACGCCTGTGGTCCCAGCTACTTGGGAGGCTGAGGCAGGAGAATCACTTGAACCTGGGAGGTGGAGAGTGGGCCAAGATCATGCCACTGCACTCCAGCCTAGGTGACAGAGCAAGACTCTGCCTCAAAAAAAAAAGTAAATCAATGATCATTGCCAATTTTATTTTATTTTATTTTTTTGAGATGGAGTCTCGCTCTGTTGCCCAGGCTGGAGTGTAGTGGCGTGATCTCGGCTAATTACAAGCTCTGCCTTCCGAGTTCACACCATGCTCCTGCCTCAGCCTCCCGAGTAGCTGGGACTACAGGCACCCAGCACCACGCCCGGCTAATTTTTTTGTATTTTTATTAGAAATGGGGTTTCACCCTGTTAGCCAGGATGGTCTCGATCTCCTGACCTCGTGATCCACCCACCTCGGCCTCCCAAAGTGCTGAGATTACAGGCGTGAGCCAGCGCGCCCGGCCTGGGATCACTGTCAATTTTATTAACCACAAGGTCTATACCTTGCACACAGTAGGCTTGTAATAGATGTCAGTTATCAATAAGGAGAAGATGTGTTTTCCAGTGCCTGGCACACCATAGCCCCAAATAGATGCCAGTTTTTAGTATTACTGACAATAAGGTGTGATTTGCAGCCACAGCACAGTAGGCCTAAATGATAGATCCTCACTGCAACTACATTTGGCACACAGGAGATAGCAGTAGAGGTTAGCAGTACTTCCTATTAGATACTATGTCATCACCCCCATAATCCATGGATTTAACGTGGCATACAATAGGCCCCAAATAGGCATTAAGTGGTCAGTATTATTTTGGGTTTTTTTGGATATTTTTGAGACAGGGTCTCCATGTGTCGCCCAGGCTGGAGTGCAGTGGCACAATCTCGGCTCACTGCACCCTCGACATCCCAGGCTCAAGCGATCATCTCACCTCAGCCTCCCAAGTAGCTGGGACTACAGGCATGTACCACAACACACGGCTAATTTTTGTATTTTTTGTAGAGAAGGGGTTTCGCCATGTTGCTCAGGCTAATCTCCAATCCCTAAGCTCAAGCAATACACCCGCCTCAGCCTCCTAAAGTGCTGGGAATACTGGCATGAGCCGCCACGCCCAGCCAGTCAGTATTGTTAAGAATGAAATAGCCGGGCACAGTGGCTTACACCTGTAATCCCAACCTTTTGGGAGGCCGAGGGTGGGAGTGGATCACCTGAGGTCAGGAGTTAAGAGGCCAGCCTGGCCACAAATCAGCTGGGGGTGGTGGCACGTGCCTGTAATCCCAACTACTCGGGAGGCTGAGGCAGGAAAATCGCTTGAACCCGGAGGCGGAGGTTGCAGTGAGACGAGATCACGCCACAGCAATACAGCCTGGGCGACAGAGCGAGACTCTGTCTCAAAAAAAAAAAAAAAAAAAA